AATTAGCCAATAACCGCGCTTCTGCTTCTGTATCCCGCTTCTGCTCTATAAAAGTTCCAAAAACCCGGCCTGAGGCGCGCAAGTTCTCCGAGGAGACTTTGTGCCCACAGGTACCTGTGTACTAAATAAACCTCTTGCTGTTGCAACCCGAAGGCTGACTTGTCCTCAGTGGTTTCACTCTTACAAAAGAAAGAAACAAACCCAGAAATGCCCTCTTTAAAACCTTCCTTGTCTCTACAGCCTTTGAAAAGAATCTACACATGCCAAGGGATATGAACATGTCAGTCTGAATTACCGACTATGGCACTTTCCAGGCTTCATCTTCCATTTTCTTTTTCTAAGAACATGAATTCTCCACTGGGTACATGTTCCAATGGCCGCCACCTTCAGATTCCACAGAGCTGCAACAAGAGTATTACCTGGGAAAGTGATTAACCTTTTGTGCTTCAGAGAGGGTACGAAGTAGGAAGGGCTTCAGGTGGGAGCCTGTCCACATCAGGTTGTAGTCAGTGCTGCTTGGGTGAACCTAGGGACAGGAAGCAGAAAACATCAGCAACAGCCTTCTCCAGGAAGAGCAATGGCAGAGAGTCAGTGGTTTCTCATCCAGAGAATGATGGGGGTGGTCAGGTTGGTATGCGAGCCTATTTACAGAAGCAGAGTATCACAGCAAACAAGATAATGAGGTCTAAAGAATGGGAGAGCTTGGAAAATCCTAAATGTAAATAATAAAGTAACCCTTCTGTAGAAGTCGATGTCCAGTACATACTTTGATGTCCATCAAAGTATGAATCAAGACCCAACCCCAACTCCTTTCTCAGACTTTCTTTATATCCTTGCAGATCAGAACTAGAATCTTAGCTTTCATTGCCCATTCATTAGAATGCTATTGTCCATTCATTCATCAATTACATACTCTGTCCACATAATATGATAGGACAGTGGCAAGTGCTGGATATAAAAAAGCAAAAAGACAGATATAAACAGGTATCAGAACATCCCCCAAATTGCTCCTACTCATAGTAAGCTAGATCAAGGGGCTGGCAACCAGACTTTCATCAATGGTCTCAAAATATCAATGGTGGGAGCCTCCTTGGCATTTACCTGTCCTTTTAAATGACTACATCTCATTTTTCCCAGTTTACTCTGGAGGAATGACTTGCTCCTGGGTATTAAAGGACCTGCAAATCAACCAACTACCCCTTCCCCTAGGAGTGGATCTATAACCTAAGCTGGTCCGACAAATTCTACCACCAGAAATACATGAGGACAATGGAGTCCAGTAACTTCCTCAGCAGCATCTTCAGGAGACAACCCTAAAGATTCCTGACCTCAGCTCCCAAGACAGTCCTGGCCTCTCTCCCAAAGAATCCTCTGATTCTGCAAACTACCCTTTCCATACCTTTCTATATTTAAGTTAGAGTCTGTTTCTGTAGTTTGCAATCAGATCCTCACACAGGTATCAGATAATTCCTTATGGGCAATTCTGCAAAGCCCGAATCTAAGAACACAGCAAGAAAGGAAGAAAAAAAAAAATCCTGTGGCAATGCTATAACATGTACCACAGGGAGAAGCTGCTAATACTACCACGTTCTGCAGTCACTAATCAGAGCTTTCGTGTACTTCCCAGAGCCACCTCTGTTGATGGACAAAGTTAGTTAGATAGCTGATTAGGAGCAGTTGTAGAAATGAGCTTACTTCATGAAATCCATGGGCTGTCAAAATGCTGCGTACCAGGCGACTATCCGTTCTCAAAATCTTATAAGACAAACGATAACGCTCTAAAGAAAAACACAGAATCAAATTCAGTAACTGGAAAAATGAACTGTAAAAAATAAAAATAAACTGTAAGATGGAAGTTTGATTAATGTAGTCAATAGCATTATACTGCTGCCCTTAAAACTACTGTAAATGAATTAAGGATACTTGGGACCAGAGTTCTTTTTTAAAAAATTTATTTATTAGCATTTTGTCTATGACTTGGGGGGTGGGGTGGCATGCATGTGGAAAACAAAGGACAACTGTGTGGAGATGGATGTCTCCTTCTACCTTTCCTTGGGTTCCAGGAATCAAACTCAGGTCCTCAGACTTGCGTGGCCAGCACATTATCCACTGAGCCATCTTGCCAGTCCTGCTCTGCATTTCATTATGGAAGGATGTGTGTCCCTATTAGCCATTGGCTCCCACTGCTATCTATTTCTTCCCTAGGGATGAGTTAGACCTACTGCTAAACTCTCACCATGGACTTCTGCCTCCTATATTCCCATTTAGCGGCTTCGGATTCCCCTGGACTGGAGTTAGGACAGTTCGCAGCCACCACGTGGGTGCTGGGAATCGAACCCGGGTCCTCTGCAAGAGCGGTCAGTGCTCTTAATGGCTGAGCCATCTATCCAGCCCCTACCAAGAGTTCTTAACATGAGAGATGGTGGGGTTTGCTCAACAGAGAGGGGAAAAAAACTCCATCTTTGTTTTTTCTAGTTTCTGGTCAAAATTTAACAATGCCTTCAAATGAGGACTATCGGCAACAAGAGCAGGTGCCTGTGACCCTGCCACCCTGCTAGGTATTTTAATTTCACTTCAAACTGCTACAGCTTTCACAGTACTTAAAATTACAGTATAGTTAACAAAATAGTGTAATAATAAAAAGTGCATATAACTTAAATGTATGTGGGGGAGTGTTTTTATTTTTTAGTTTTTTGAGACAAGGTCATACTAAGTAGCCAGCCCAGTCTGGCCTGTAACTTACTAAGTAGTCCAGACTAGCCTCAAACTTGCACTCCTACAGCTGGGATTACAGGCACACACCACCACATCCAGCAGTGACCACTTATATATTTTCCCCCTTAAAATCATTACTCTGGGAAGAAGTCCTTGGGCTTCTCCAGACTGCCAAGTGGGTTCACTGTGCCCAAAAGGGTAAGAGTCCTTGTTCCAGATAGCCCTCTGTGTTCTTGAATGCTAACTATCGGCACATCACAGGCCAGAAGTTACAAACTGGTGGCCCAAGAGCCTCATCCAACCTGTAGACATGGTTTATTCATTCCTATGGTACTCTAAAAATAAAACACAAGTCATTGCTAGCCTATGGAAATTTGAAGGAATCACAGAAGAAAATAAAAAATCTAAATTTCTGGGATTGTCTTGAAAGTCCTAGCAATACTGGGTTCTACTCTCTCCAATAGGGAGAACCCAGTGAGCACCTGCAACTGTCCCCTTCAGGATGGGCCCATGCTATGGGTCCAGCTCAGCACCAGCCCATTGCCCTCATATACATGTCCTGCCTTTTTAAAAGACAGTACATTGAACAATTCTGAGTACAGAGCAGACACTTAAATGCTCAGCAGAACAATGTTCAGCCTCTACCACCAAAGACAAAAAAATTTTTTTTAATTTTTGGTCTTTTTGAAACAGGGTTCCCTCTAGCCTCAGCTGGCCTGGAACTCATTATGTAGACCAGGTTAGCCTCTATCTCACAGAGATTCACTTGCCACTGCTTTCTGAGTACTGGGATTAAAGTAGTGAGCCAACACATCTGGACCAAAAACAATTATTTTTATAAATTTATGTGGCACGACTCATAAACTCCTGCTGCTCCATGGCCAGCCTTGGTAGGAGATGAACTCCATGCAAAGCAGACATTGGAAGATGGACATGAACGAGCCAGTCATTCTGTACTTCTTGTGGCAAACTTCTAAAGTCTAGTCACAGGCTCTCCCCCACAATCCATCACCATTATGTTATCTGTAATGTCATCATAAGAAACACAGGGCAGAGTCCTATGTGCTTGTTTCAGTGCAGAGCTAAGCATCAAGAGCAGGACTTACGGGAGGTTCTGACTGCAGTTGGGAGGGAAAGCACAAGCTAGGCCTGAAACATCTAGGTAGACCGAAAAAGAAAGAAACATTCAAAAACTGATTGAAATCATCACAGCTTGACTGATCTGAACATAAAAATGAAAGCAATAGAAATAGATTATAATGCAATTACAAAAGAATCCAGTGGTCAGCCAGGCTTGGTATAGTGGTACACACCTTTAATCCCAGCACTGAGGAACAGGGGAAGGCAGGCCTCTTTGAGTTTAAGGCCAGCCTAGTCTATATATAGGAAGTTCCACACCAGTCAGGGCTACATAGTGAGACACTGTCTCAAAAAAAGAAAACCAGAAGTCCACACTGATGAGGAAGTGAGAAGGTACTAGTTTTCTTTTGCTGCTATAATAAATTATCATGCTTGGTAGCTTAAGCACAAACTTGCAGTCTTCCAGCCTAACACAGGCCCCACCAGGCTAACTCAGGGCTATGATAATCAGGTGGTGGCCCCTTCTGTGGCCTCTGCTTGGATTTGGTTCCTTCACTTTCTACCTCCTAACAGCTATTTCCACTTCCCCTCGCTGGTCTGTGGCACATCATCATCTTCCACTTTCAAAGGCAACAATGGCAGGTCAAATTTTTCACCTAGTACCACCTCTGGCCTCTTTCAGCTCCTTCCATTCTAAGGAGCCCTTTGGTGGTATTAGGCTGGACACTCTGGGATGATCCAGGACAATCTATTAAGGTCAACTGATCAGGACCCTTAACTTTCCTTTTGTCTAAGGTAATATATTCATAGATTCCAGAGATTATAGACATATTAGGGAGCCTACCACGGCCCACCCTCTGCTTCCCAAGATTCATACTTCTCTCCCATGAAAAACAAATTCAACCCATTCCGACATTCCCATCAACTGAATCTAAAATCTAAAAATCTCATCTAAATTTGTCACCTCAAAAATTCTCAGAGCTTATCTACATCAGTATGATTCATCATGGGGCAAACCTGCTCTCCATCAGTAGACCTACAAAATAGGAACAAATTATTTGCTCTCAAAATATAATAGAACACCAGCCAACAGGTATGCTGGTTCAAAATGGGAGAAAATTTAAGGGGAAAAAAAGGAGTCACAATTGTCTATAATTTCAAAATCTAGCCAATCAAGCTGCCAAAATGGGGATCCACCTGGAATAAGTCTTACTTTTTCATAAAACTAAGCTTATTTTTGCAGCCAAGTGATCTTCTCATCCTGCTTCTTGCCTGTGGAATCAGTGGTCTAACAGCTTTCATTTCACCCTTAGGCTGTCTCACTCAGACTCAAGAACCCTGCAGGTAGGTCCCTTGTACATGGATTCACTACAGAGGACATGAGTGTCCTCTTCATTTCATTTCTAAGCTCTCTATTCTTTGGCTTGCAGTCTTCCTCCTCCCTCCACAAGCCAGAAGTGATGGGCTGTATCCGTCCACAGTGTGTCACTCCCATGCTTCTTCCCTTCCTTATTAAGGGACTCGTAATTACACAGGAACCTCTTGAATAATCTCCTTATCAGTACATTAGGAACATTAATTCCAACTACAACCTCAATTCCCCTTTGCTTATATTCACAGGTTTGGGGAATGAGGAGATGGACATTTTTATGGGACTCCTAATTCTACTGACCACAAAAGGAAAAGCTCTTGTTACAGAAATATCTCGCTAACATAATAAATGTGGACAGAATTATAGCTCAGTTGGTAGAGTTCTTGCCTAGATACATGAAGCACTAATTCACTTCCCAGCAGTGCATGACCTGGGCATATTGGTGCATGCCTATTATTCCAGAACTTCAGGGATAGAGGTTACCAGGATCAGTTCTTTAAGGCCATTCTCAGCTACAAAGCAAGCTCAAGGTCAGCCTGGACTGACTGCGTCTCAAAAAAAAATTTTTTTTAATGGGACTAGGGATAGTTCAGTAGTTAAGAACACCTGTTCTGAAAGCAGGACCTGAATTCAAAAGCCCAGCACTCACATAAAAGCTGGACACAGATGCATGTGTGTGCAGCATTAGGGAATAACCAGCCAGCCTAGTCAAAATGGCAAGCTTCAGATTCAATGACAGACCATGACGGTGAAGAATGACAGAGGAAGCCACCCAACATCCTCCTCTGGTCTCTGCATAGGTACTCAGCACCCCCCCCACACACACACAGGGACATACAGGCACACACATGAAAGATAAATACAGATAGAAATGGAATATCACCATTTTACAAAAAACATTAAGCACGAGCAATTCAGGTAAGAAGCAAATGGATACCAACAGGTTGGGAATGGAAAACTCATACATCTCAAAATATCACTCACGAGAACGCTTATAACAAAAAGGAAAATGCCTTTCACAAAGAAGTAACCTGAATATTACCATAACCAAATGACCAAGTTTGACATCACTAATAACTCAAAATAATGATGCCATGAGCTTCCATTAGTGACACACTAAGGACACAACTTCACTAAAAAGCAAATACAAAAACAAAAACAAAAAACTGAGCAGGGTGTGGTGGTACCGGCCTTTAGTCCCAGGTAGAAGCAGGGGGATCTCTGTGAGATCAAGGTCAGCCTGGTCTACATAGTACTCACTAACATACACACACATCATCATCCTCATCATCATCATCATCATCATCATCAATTTTAAAAGATTAACCTTAAAGCAACTAATCTGGAAGGACAAAAAAGAACAATCTGGGAACCAGCTGCAGAGTAAAGTAGAGAAAAGAAAGAATGACAACTCAGTGCAATTGTTAGTCAGATCCTGGATAGAAAAACAAAAGCAAAAAACCCACAAGGACAAACCTTGAGCAGTAAGAAGGATGCACAGGCCTAAAGGAGAGAGAAAACACTTCTACCACTGGCTGACTGGTTCTGCAGGAGATGCCCTTCACCGTACTATTCTTTCATCTTGTCTGAAAATGTTTTTTCTAAATGAAA